GGTGGCTACACAGCATGCAGGGAGCATGTGACAGAAGCAGCTGCTCAGATCATGGTGGCCAGAAAACAGAAGAGAAAGGAAAAAGGTGGGCTTGTCACATTTCCTTGACGCCGGGGAAATGCTTTCTTATGCCACACATCTTACACTGTCACAGAGGTATCCCAGATCACCATGAAAACAAGACATGCCCTGCCAGACTCCTTATTTTAGGTACTTATTTTTTGTGTATGAATGTTTTGCCTCTGTGTATGTCTGTTTGCCACATGTGTGCCTGGTGTCTGTGGGGGTCAGAAGAGGGCATAGATCCCCTAGAACTGGAATTAGATACATTTGTCAGCCATCATATGGGTGCTGGGAATTGAATCTTAGTCCTCTGCAAGAGCAGTCAGTGCTCTTAACCCCTGAGCCCTCTCTCCAGCCCTGGGGCCTCACCAGACTCATTACAACTCTCCATGTGTCACGTGCTATCTAAGCTCTGGGAGTGGTGGGTGGGATGGGCAGGAGAGTATTTATGAGATGTTGAGCCAAGTAAGTGTGAAAGCAAGGCTGAGCCAAAACATCTTATCTCTATGAAATCTCACCTGTGTAGTTCTCAGGGAGAAGTAAAGACTGAGGCTTCTTCCTACTGGAGCAGGTTTCTCTACAGGCGATGAGAGGATGCTCGTTGTGTTGGTTATGATCTGAAGGAAGCCTTCCTAAACCCAGAGAGATCACTAGTGCCAACTCAAGGGTGCCCTGGCATGGCTTTCAGGCATGCCAGCTGTGACCTGTATGGAAGCAGGAGGCTCTGCAGCTGGGTCTGTGTCAGGCTGTGACTCAGGCAGACTCTGCCTGGGCTGGGCGGACATTCCTGCTGCTAGGTGGCATGTGCCTAACTCACAGTGACTTGGGTTTGCTGCACCCTGCCCAGAAGGCTAGCTTAACCCAGGAAGACCTGCCATTGCCCTTCCCAGCCCTCTACTGTGTTTTCTGCCCATCGGGCTGGACTTTGACCTGACCTTTATAAGCCATGGCCTCCTGCTAGTGGCAGCTCCACGGTATGGTGCGGGTGGGAAAGCTCTGTAGCACACTCAGAGCGGCACTGCCCCATCCGTCTCTCCCCTCTGCAAACCCACAGCATCTCCAGCCCAAGGCAGCCTGGCAGCAGGTAGTGGAAAGGGGAGAGGCCTCCAGTTCTTCTCTTGTTCCCACAGGTGGTGCAGATCCAGGTGGGAACGTTCTGCCAGTGTGGAGGGCACAGGGAGGGTAATGGTGTAGATGTGCTGTGTGCAGCCCCCACTTAAGGACAGCCTTGAGGCCGGGGTGCAGAGCATCTCCACAAATCATACACGAGTTTGGAACAGGGAGACAACTGGGCAAGGTCTTAGTTTCCATCTCTAGTACGGCAAAAGAAATTTAAAAGAAAAATAAAGGTATGAGGATATAATTCACACTCTGTGGTGGTTGGAATAGGATGTCCTCCCCCTCATAGGCCAGTATGTTTAAATCCTTAGTCATCAAGGAGTGGCACTGCTTGAGAAGAATTAGGAGGTGTGGCCTTATCGGAGTAGGCGTGGCCTTGTTGGAGGAAGTGTGACACTGGGGGCGGGCTTTGAGGTTCCAAAAAGCCCCAGCCAGGCCCAGTGGCTCTGTCTCTTCCTGGTCTCTGTGGATCTGGATAGAGAACTCTCAGCTCCTTCTCCATACCATGTCTGCCTGCATGCCACCGTGCTTCCCACCATGGCGATAATAGACTGAACCTCTGGAACTGTAAGCCAGCCCTAATTAAATGATTTCTTTTGTAAGAGTTGCCTCGGTCATGGTGTCTTTTCACAGTAATAGAACATTGACTAAGACACTCCCCATACAATTCATTTGTTTATTATACGTAACTCTTTTTTTTTTTCATTTTTTTATATACCACAATCCATCCATCTCCCACCCCACCCCCGCCCGTCTCTCTCTTTGTAGGATAGTTTTATGTTAATTTGACACAAGTCATTTGAGAGGAGGGAGCTTCAGTTAAGAGAATGCCTCCAGAAGACCAGGCTGTAGGCCAGCCTGTAGGGCAGTTTCTTAATTAGTGATTGGCTGGGGAGGGCACAGCCCTTGTAGGTAGTGCCATCCCTGGGCTAGTAGTCCTGGGTTCCATAAGAAGACAGGCTGGGCAAGCCATGAGGACCTGCATCAGCTCCTGCCTCCAGGTTCCTGTCCTGATCTCCCCAGAGTGTGTTGAAGACCAGCTATTCAAACATGAGTCTATGGGGGACATTTCACACTGAGACCATAACTGCAGGCCCAGAATGGGAGCCACTGCATCCCACGAGTCTTAAAAACCATGGTCCCTTACCCATGAAGCTAGGGGAGGAGCCATGCCAAGGTGGCTGCCTGCTCAGCCATGGCTTGGTGTGGGGCCTTGCCAGCATGGCCTCTGCAGGGCTTGTCTGTGCTGGCAGCTCCTAGTGTACTTGTTGTCTTCTCTCAAACAAGCAGTAGCTGAGTTTCCACTTACCTGGGGACCTGCCAAGCCACTGTGCTTGTCCTACTGTATATGGGCAGCTGGAGTTAAGGGCAGCTCCAGTGTTCGTACATACTCTCTGCCTCTCTTGGCCCAGCAGAGATGCTTTCCTGCCTGCCTTGAAGCATCAAGTACCTGCAGGGTGCCTTAGGATTTCATCACAGGTCTTGCTTACTTATTCTGATTCCAGGACTTTTCTAACTCATGACTGATGTCCGTGTATGTAATGGGAGACTTTCTCCATCTATCTGGGTTCCCTGCCTTTTATAATAAAAGATAAATTAGATATAAAACTTTGGACTCACAAAGACAGGATAGATGGTAGAATATTTTCTTTAAAATTTTCCAAATGTAAATGTAACCATAATTCTTGCTTGATAACTGTTTTGTTATATGTAATTTTACTATGTTAAAGTTAAAACCTTCCTTTTTATTTAGACAGAAGAAGGGTAATGATGGGGGATGTCCTCTGTATGCTGTGACTATGTGTTTCTCTTATTGGTAAATGAATAAAGCTGTTTTGGCCAATGGACAGGCAGAATTTAGCTAGGTGGGAATTCCAAACAAAGAGGTAGGAAAAAAGAAGACAAAAAATTGACCCCCATGTAGCCTCCCAAGAGTGAAGAGGCCGGGACATCACCAGTAAGCCAAGGCCATGTGGTGATACATAGATTAATAGTAATGGGTTAATAATAAAGAGAGAGCTAGCCAGTAAAAGCCTAAGCCATTGGCTAAACAATTGTAACTGATATTAAGTCTCAGAGTGGTTATTTTATTAAGTAGCTTCAGGACCAGATGGGTAGATAGAAAATCGGACCAGTAGGACCCAGACTTGATGGAGAAAAGCCTCCCATTACACATATTTACAGATGTTCCTCCCCGTACATCAGGCTAACAACCAGCATAATCTGAAAATATCATAAATCAGGTCTGGGGGTGTAACCCAGGGATTGATACTTGCTATGAGAGGTGGCCAGGGGTCAAGCCTTCAGGAACTCCATGATTGGATTTTATCCCAGAGAGCAACGAAAGGGCACCAATTAATGCCAAGTGGGAGGAGAGACATACTCAAGCCTTCACCGACAGAAGTCCATCTAGCATGGTTGGAGGACGTGTCACAGGAAGTGAGAGTGATCAGGAAGAGCCAGCTGGTGGTGGCCCAGGAACCAGAGCAGGACAGCCCAGACTGGAACCCAGTGCTGAGAATGGATTATCAGGGCTTGCAAACATTAACATTGAGCAGCAGGAGTCACACTTCAAGTTACCCCAGAAGCAAAACATTGCTCTCTGTAACACTAGGTACCAGGTAAGTGTCACACTCCAGCCCCAAGACAAAAGTTTTAACCAAAAAGAAGATGAAACAACCCTGGAGACTTTGTTCTTCATCAATTTAAGTGGCTCTGAGACTCCCTGGCCTACGCCAGACAGTAGCAAGGTACCACGGCCATTGCTTACAACAAAAGCAAAAAAAAAAAAAAATGACAACCAGCTGTGTCTGTCTGACAAGCCATTTGCTGTCCCCATCCCATGCCCCAGCCCAGTCCATGGGGATCTGGGCCTTGGAGTGTGGTCCCTCTTCTCACCTCCTCAAGGTCACACACTACACTATATCAGTGACAATCTTCAGAAGACACACTACTCTGTCTCCTGCATGCCTTGGCTGCTGTTCCTGTCTGAAAACCTCTCTCCACCTAGGAGTGTCCCTCACCTGGGAATTATATTCTTATTACCTGTACCTGTAGACACAGCATGCCTGGAGGAAAAGACTGAAGAGGACAAAGTGGTGCTATTTGATCTGACACTGGAGCAGAGCCATGGAGTGTGCAGATTCAGAGGAGAGCAAGAGCAGTCTCAGTGGCTCACAGCCATGGTGAGGACCTGTTTTCCTCTGAGAGAACAGCAGGTGGGGAAGGGGGCAAGGCAGCCTGGTAGCAAGGGGCACCAAGAAGCCCTGGTGACAGTGCAGATGTGGGACGTGGCTGGCTGTGGTGGTCCATGTGAACCTATACCCCACAGTGTGGCACAGACCAGGGGCTCAGAGAACACTGCTTAAAACACAGAGGAAGGGACTTCCAGCTTTTGTCCTCCCTGGGTGATCACAGAGAGGAAATTCCTGACAATCCTGGTGGGCCTTCGCCACATTCCCCATTAATCTTTGTGAGAACAGCTCCACATACTACTAGGGACCCCTGTAGAAATCTCCAAACAGCATGTTATGAGTTTGTGCCTCAGTGGAACCCTAGTTCCTTGCTTATAGCAGTGACAGAATGGGATGGGAATTTTTGGCATGCATTTTCTGGGTGCTGTGCATACTTCATAACTGTAATGCACCCACTGTAGACCTTACATAACAGGGGACTCATGGAACAGCATCTGGCAGAAGCAATTTGGAGATGCATGAGGTTCGTGCCAGGTTGAATCACTCAGTGGCCCCCACGCCCAGGGCAAACACTGGCTTCTTTTGAGGGCTGGCTAAGAGCCCACACAAACTTTCACAGGCTCATCTTGCAGTTCAGAACAGAACAAAACAGACAGCCTGAGACCTAATCTTCAAAACCTCTGTGGAGGAGAGGTCCGGATTATGCTTGAATATTGTTTTAGCTCCTCACGCGAACTTCCTGGGTGAGGACTGGGACCAAGTGGGTGGGAAAGAGGGTCCTTATATATATGAGCCCTCTCTTGGTTCTTGCTCATTCCAGAAGTCCCAACTGCTGGAGGAGGCTGTGTAAAAGGTAATCTCCCTCACCCTCCTTACTTCCTTTCTAGGTGGGAACATGTAAGTACAGCCTGCTTGGAGCAAGGGCCTTGAGAGTACAAGTCTCTCACTCATTCTGAGGACAACTGGTCGACACCCTGCCAGGCCAGCATTTCCTGACTGGGTGCATTGAATGTCCAGCACCAGATTCCTGGAGCTCTGTCGTCTACAACACTGGGCTAAGAAAATCCCAGAGACACACAAAACACAAGAACAGAGGTGACCTTTGGGTGAGACATCTTGGTGTGCACAGTCAAGCTTCTCTACTCCCTAGAAAGGTGGCAGGGATGAATAGGTGAGTGAACACACCTTGGAGAAAGACGCTTGTGCGTTCAAAGCCTGACTTCAGTGCCTGTCACCTGTGAGGGCACAGGTGGCACGTTGAGTGGTTTTCAGTCTTACTGTCCTTATTTGTGGAACAGATGCATAGCTGACCTTTCTTTCTGAGTGCTATTTTGGTCCACTAGAAAAATCAATCTCTCTGTCCCTCTGTCTCTTTTTATCCCTTTCCCGTGTGTGTGTGTGTGTGTGTGTGTGTGTGTGTGTGTGTGTGTGTGTGTGTGTGTGTGTGATGTGTGTGGGTCAGTAGACAGCTCTGGTTGTCAGTCCCCACTTCTACCTTGTTTAAGGCAGGGTCTGTTCTTTGTTGTTGACTGCTATCTAGGCATACCAGATAGCTGACCTGTGAGGTTCCAGGGATTCTCCTGTCTCTGTCTCCCATCTTTCAGCAGGAGTTGTGAGATTTCAGAAATGTGCTACCACATCTGCTTTACATGATTTCTTGGCATCCAAACTCAGTTCCTCACGCTTTCAAATCAAGTACTTTACCCTCTGAGCCATCTCACCAGCTCTAGTACGGAGGTTCTATGAGACTGAGGGGAGTGTGAAGAAGGGCCGAGAATGGGGCACGTTTAGGGGGAAGGCACAACCCCCAGGCGGGCTGCTGCTGGGAGAAGAAACCCAGTTCATGTCCCATTCAGGTGCAACACTGAATATGTTCCCACCCATCTTCAGTGACTCTGAACAGCACTGTAGTTAACTGGCTCTCAGAGGGGCCCAGGGCCTAGCCTCTTAAAGACCATTTTGTTTTGGGAGATGACACTGAGTGGTGAGCTCAGACCAGCTCAGCCTCATTCACATGAAGCCCTTCCCTTCCTGGGTCACCTACCTTGGTGATTTGTGGCTGATGCCATGTAGTCTTGCAAGGGTGGGAAGGGAAGTACAGTCTTGCTGCAGGGTGGCATGACTGAAGCTGTGACTAGCAGGAAGGACCTGGGCCACAGGTTGGCTGAACCAAGGGCTCCCAATAAAGGAATTGCCCAGCCTCCTGGTGGATCATAAGAAATAGGGTGTGGCATGTCCAGATTTGAAGCCTGGATGCCAACAGGGTTCCTCTCCCCAGGGTAGGACACCCATGGGTGAAGGAGGTGGTGGAAGGAATCTGAATGCAAAATCAGGCAGGTTCATGCACCCATATCTAATATTATTGAATACTATATGTAATATTACATGGGGATGGACTTGGGAGGGGGAACTTGCTGTATTTCTGTAGAGTAGGAATAACTTCCTCCACACTCCAATGTTAAATGTTATACAGGGTTGGGCCAAATATCTCTGGAAGGAGTGTGAGGGATTGGCACCAACGGCCCTCTCTCTGTGCAGCAGGAATGACAGCTTCTTGGAGGAGAAGGCGAGGTGCTTTTAGCTGCACCCTCTTTTGCTCAGTTCTTCACCACGACCGTGGATTCTCCACTCAAAGATGCAACAAACGTTCAGGAAAATGAGCTCATTGCAAAATGTCAAGTGCCATAAAAAATGAGAAGCAACATCGGGGCAGCTGGGGTGTGGTTCAGTGGTAGGAGCACAGGCCTGGGAGAGGGAGGAAGAGGGAAAAATGATCACTAATTATTCTACTCCCTCGGTTGCTCCTCACACTGGGGCAACGCTCAAATTTCTTTCACTCGTGCATGAGTTCTACACCTGCTGTTTGGGTAACATGCTCCTTTCTTTCCCAACGACACGTATGTGGCAGGCAGAGCCTTTGTGAATGTGCTTGATAGTTTCCTATCTTATTTCTAAATAATCCACCACAAGACACCACCGGTGCTAGGCTGTTCCCAGCATGTCTGCCACATGCAAACAGTAAGTGCTTTCTTGTTGCTTAGGGAGCTGCAGTTAAGAGAAACTCCTGAGCAGACCCCCAGTGTTACAAATACTTACTTTAAAAAATTTTTAGTTGTACATTTTTCAACATAGAGATTTATTCTTATTATTTTTATTGTGTGTATTGGTGTGTGTGTGTGTGTGTGTGTGTGTGTGTGTGTGTGTTTTGAGTACAAGCGCCTACAAAGGCATCCGATCCCCTTGGAGCTGGGTTACAGGTGAGGGGCTTGGAATAGGATGTGAGTCTTTGGATGAGAAGTGCACATTCTTAATTGCTGAACCATTTCCCTAACCCCACAAATACTTTCAAGAGGCCTTTGCTGGATATGGTCAAAGCTCCACCCCTACCCCAAGAGCCATGCCAATATGCCAGCTTCTTTATTGTACTGGAATCAGGAATCACCTCTGCAGTTTTGCACCAGAACCAGAGAGTCTGAAAGACCTTTGTTAGCATTGGCCTGCGTCACACTGGTGTGGACACATTGATCTAAAAGCTAAGCCTGGCTCTGCTTAGCCAGGCAACCAGCACATTTGAGCACCACGGTGTAGCTAGGAAGGGTGTGTGGGAATTTCGGTGCTAGTTTTTCTTTACTTGGGTTGGGAGTGTATGCATCCAACCTAATGCAAAAAGCTGTCCCAATATGCTAGTAAATCAGATTCGGAGACTTGCCAGGAAGGGTGCCCCTTCCACCCTATGGCAGATCCTGCTTAGGATGGATGTGGCTCACTGTGGATTAGTGTCATCTGACCTGGGATGTCTAAAGACATCAAAAAGGCCCAGTCATCTTAGCCAGAAAAGGAGACCTTCCAGGAGAAACACATTTTCCAGTCTCTAGGAGAGGTCTTTATCCAAATAAAATTAACAGAGTGGTGTAGGGGTGAGCCAATGCCAGGGTGCTGGTTCCAAAGCACAGCCCGGAGCCGAGGATGTGGCCATCCGGCTTCCTCTGCTGCAAAATGCTCTCTATCTCCAGGTGCAATGAGCAAGATCAGTGACATCGTGAGCCAGGCGCGTGAGGCCTTTAACTCAGGCAAGACTCGCCCGCTGCAGTTCCGAATCCAGCAACTGGAGGCGCTGCGACGCATGATCACCGAGCGCCAGCCGGACATCACTGCTGCGTTGGCTTCTGACCTGCACAAGGTACAGTGTCCCGGGGTGGGGGTAGGGGAGCGGCTACAAAAAGGGACTAGCAGAGATACAACAGACACGGGGACAGTCGCACCTTCAGTATAGGGAATCAATTGCCCGCCACCCAGCACTTCACCGAGGATTGCACTGCTCACCAAACACTGGGCATGTAGTGGCAATGTTATAGAGGGGAACGTGAGACTCCGAAAGGATTGGCAAAGCTTGTAGGGTCGCTCTCTCCTTCCACTACCTTTGGACACGCTCTTCTGCCCTCGACCCGTCGCCCCCCCCCAATACACTGCAAATCTGCCTTATCCTTCGGTCTTCAGTCTCTCCCTGGTCTACCTGGTTCGTCACACCAAGGACCAGCAAGGCGGGGATCCAACTCCACATGGCTTCCTCCTTCCTCCTTGTTCCCTGGGGTTGCTCTGAGCAAAATCAGGAGCCTCCAGTTCCACAAACCTTTCACTGTGAGGTCAGGGCTCACTTGAGACTGCTTCCTCCCTCTGCTAGTCAGGACTCACCCACCTTCCAGCTTTCCACCTTAATGCATATTTGTCACCCGTGCTCGTCTTGTCCCCTACCATTCCAGGAGGCTCTGGTGTCCCCAACCGCCCCAGCTCCTGCCTCCCTCTGCCATACTTCTGGTTTTTGGTCTGCCACTCTTGGGCACATCTTCCTCAGGTGGGGGTGGTGCCCATGTCTACTCAACACTGTGATCTCCCAAGCTCTTCTCAGGTTCAGGTCTCAGTGTGGTCTGTAAGCCTTCCGGACAACATGTTTCCTCCCTCACCAATGACCCTCAAACCCATTCCTCTGGCCAGCCCTGGCTTCATTCATTCCTTCACCAGCTCTGGGTCCTGGGGCACCCCCAGCCACCTCACACAGACCCCAGCCTCCAAACCTTGGGAAGGAGGGGCCGTTCAGACCTCCTACCCTGCTGGCCATCCTTCAGCTCTGTGTCCTTTCTGTGCCTGCTCTGTATCCCAGCACCCTGTTATGGACACCACTGAGCAGCCAACTCCCCAAGGCAGTAGAGCCTTGGCTGTGGGCCTCAAGTTCATGTGGAGCCTCTCCCTAGAATGAATGGACCGCCTACAATGAGGAGTTGGCACATGTGCTGGAGGAGATTGACACCACAATTAAGAAACTTCCAGAGTGGGCTGAGGATGCGCCCGTGGAAAAGACTCACCAGACCCAGCAGGATGAATCCTATATCCACTCAGAGCCCCTGGGCGTGGTCCTTGTCATAGGTGCTTGGAACTACCCATTCAACCTCACCATCCAGCCCATGGTGGGTGCCATTGCTGCAGGTATGAGGGCTCCATTCTGGAGGGGCAGTTACAGGAGGTTGTGGTAACCAAACCGTGTAGCCAAGCCTGCAGGATGGCCTCTCCATATACCTATGGGGTTGGGGTGGAGTGGGTGGGTGGGGGTAAGGACTCTCTGCTAATATGTGACAGAAGAGGCCAGAGCTGCTCTGTCACCCAGCCTGGGCATCTCTCTGTGTGTCCTTTCTTCTCCCCCAGCCTCCCAGCACTGCTGAGGGGGGCAGTTGGTGTACCCGTAGCAGACGTTCATGTGTGTACCTGTGTGTGCTCCTGCATTGTGTTCCTTTGTGTGTACCTGTGTTTCTCGGCATGTGCCTGTATGTACTCACAGCATGCACTCATGTCTAGCCTCTCCCACTGCCTTCCAAAGGTACAGGTGACATAATGGAATCTCTAGGCCTGGTCATTGGGTGGGAAGAGTTTTCGAGGAGGTCTCCTGAGGATGGCCCTGACTTTGTATTCTCCAGGAAATGCAGTAGTCCTCAAGCCCTCAGAAGTGAGTGAGAACACGGCAAATATGCTAGCCACACTTGTCCCTCAGTACCTAGATAAGGTGAGGTGCCTTCTAGAGTTCAAAGATTACTATGATGGGGGTCAAGTCTTCAAAGCTTGGGAGACAGTGGGTTATTTAAGCAGGTGGGAGGAGTCCAGCTTCTAAAGACAGGGTAAATGGAGCCCTTGAGCTAGGAGAATCACTTACCTGTTAGGGTACCCAGAAGCGTACAGAGCTGGAGGGCTGAGGGGCTGCCAAGTGCCCAGTCTATGTGTGGAGTGAGGAGAGGCTTGGTTTTTCTGAGTCTCCCCTGTCTCTTTGCTGGAAGGAGCTGTACCCAGTGATCAAAGGGGGTGTCTCTGAAACCACGGAGGTGCTTACACAGAGGTTTGACCACATCATGTACACCGGCAGCACAGCTGTGGGGAAGATTGTCATGGCAGCTGCGGCCAAGCACCTGACCCCTGTCACCCTGGAGCTTGGAGGAAAGAGCCCTTGCTATGTGGACAAGGACTGTGATCTGGATGTGGCCTGCCGGTGAGGAGGCTCGGGCTTGGCTGGCTACAGAGGCTTGGGATGCTATCTACCTTCCAACACATGAAGGTGCCAAGCTCTGCACCAATTAATGAAGATGGTCCCTGCCCCTAGGAGCCTATAGTTTGGGGTTGGGAGAAGTTGAAGGGGAGAACACTATTCATAGACATTTTCCTAGAGGGGGCCTCTAGAGAGAGCACTGACTCTGTGGGCATCGTCCCGGTGGTTCTCCAAGTAGAAACTTCAGGAAAAACAACTGTGGGGTACTCATGGTTTGGAGAACTTTACCAAGCCTCTGCAGGAGATCCCATCTGAGATCTGGTGAGCAAGACCAGTAGTAACACAGAGACACTTGCTTAGAGTCCATGATAGGACTCACATCTGTACTAGCTAGACTTCTGGCCACCTGGAAGGATACTTGTAGAGGTGTCACCTGGTTATGCAAGACTCTGAGAATGTGATCAGAGACACAGAGCACTCACCCCAAATATCCTCAGAACTTCCCCTCTGACACCCATGAGATTAAACCCTCTGGCTGCAGGAATCTCTGTGGTATGTGTGTGTGGGGAGGGGTTGGGATGCTCAGTGCATCTGCAAGTGAGTGGTTGCTTAGGAGGAACCACCTTGGCAGCATCCAGCCCATGGGCTGTCCTCCATCACTCAGCCTTCAGTGCCTTGCCCTGAGCATGCGGACAGTCTCAAGGCAGCTCCCATGATTAACAGACTGCATTTTCACAGGCGTATTGCCTGGGGAAAATTTATGAACAGTGGTCAGACCTGTGTGGCCCCAGACTACATCCTCTGTGACCCCTCCACTCAAAACCAAATTGTGGAGAAGCTCAAAAAGTCACTCAAGGTGAGTGTGACCAGCAGATGGGATCAGGGCGCTGCAAGGCACAGGGGATATATTTTGCCTCAGTCAGCTTCTAGGACCTTGAGAAATTCTAGGTACTTTTCTTCTACTCACAGAAGAAATATATGCACATACTGCAGACAATTGGAAAGGGTACAAGGCGTGATGGGGGGACAAGCTCTACTCAGATTCCCAACCCCCCTAAAGTCAGTCACTGCCTAGAGCTGGGAAATCATGGTCATGACAGGACCAAATCTTCCTTGATGCCTCATCTCTTCTCAGGATTTCTATGGGGAAGATGCTAAGCAGTCCCGCGATTATGGGAGAATCATCAATGACCGTCACTTCCAGCGGATCATACGCCTGATTGAGGGCCAGAAAGTGGCTCATGGGGGCACCTGGGATGCAGCTTCACGATACATAGGTGTGTGTTCTGCCTGTGTGTCTGGGCTGCTATGGTCTACTGCAAGTTTACAAAAAGTGGGCACAGATACTCATCAAGTAGTCTTTCTCAAGGGGGTCTGCAGAAAGCTCTGGGGCTCTCAGAAGAGGTGTGTGCTCAGTATCTGCCTCCTCTACAGTCTCCCACAAGGCAGAGACAAGGGCATCATTTCTATCTCCAATCTACACAAGGCATCAGGGAAGGGAGACAGCAGAGAGCCCAAGAGCTCAGGCCAGGCCAGGCTGGGAGTCAACCTCAGTTGGAGCCCCTTTATCAAGGAGGGAGGATAGTTCTGGGGTAAGGTCAGCAGATATAATAGCTGTCCCTTCACTGTTTAGATTCTGCTCTCCTATGCAGATTAGTCTGTAGATATCCCCATGGTCTGCCATGATGGAGTCCAGGACTTGGGAGTTGGGGAGAGTTGGGCATGAAAAGAGCACTTCAGGTCTTGTCTTTGCCCACATAAGCTTGGCAGCTTCATTTGCAAAAGAATGGAAGCAGGAACTAGATGTTGACACCGACATGTGTGTACATGTGTGTGTTGGGGATTGGGGATGGATCAGCATAGACAGACTCTATCTCATTTCCTGCCTCAGCTCCCACCATTCTCGTGGACGTGGATCCCCAGTCCCAGGTGATGCAGGAGGAGATCTTTGGGCCAGTGATGCCCATCGTGAGTGTTCAAAGCTTGGAGGAGGCCATTAAATTTATCAACCAGCGTGAGAAGCCCCTGGCACTCTACGTGTTCTCTAACAACAACAAGGTGGGCCTAGGAGTCCCGCTCCCACCTTCCCAGCCTCTCAGGCACAGCACTTACATGCAAGAGAACCCAGGGATCCACAGGGCCTGGGTTTAAGTCTGTAGCTTCCTCATTCATTAGCTGTGTGGTCCTGGGCAAATCACTTAACCTGTCTGAGCCTCCTTAGTCTTAGCTCTAAGATTATGACAGTTTCATCTTCCTGGAGCTGTGGATGATGTAGCCATTGCCACTGGGTTGTGGAACCACTGCTGTTCTCCCATTCAGTGCTCAGCGTCATGTGGTATTTGTAGAGGGCTGGAGATGCCGAAGGGGCTAAGGATTATAGAGCTGGTGACTAGGGCTCGGCTTTCACCAGTCCCTATTCTTGAGGCTCCAAGATACGTTCAGAAAGGGTGGAGAGAATGAGGAACTGCAAGGTGGTTGCCTGGGTGTTCACACAGGTGATCAAGAAAATGATTGCGGAGACATCAAGTGGAGGAGTGACAGCCAACGATGTCATTGTTCACATCACTGTGCCTACTTTGCCCTTCGGGGGTGTAGGTAAGTCTAGTGTGGGGATCCTAGTCCTGATCACTCTGGCCTTTTACAAGGGTCCCAAGACTGGGGTCACATGGCCATCTGGTGGCATGGCTGGGATGACACTCTTCCTGAGCACTCTTCTGCCTGGCCTAGGTGCCTAGGGGACACTCGAAGGTTTGGCTACCCCCCCCCCCCAGGATGCTCAGAAAAAAGAGACCATAGGGGTTGTGAGTACAAGATGGGCTGGAACCCTGGTCCTGAACTGACCTCTAATTTAGGGAACAGTGGCATGGGGGCCTACCATGGCAAGAAAAGCTTCGAAACCTTCTCCCACTGCCGCTCCTGCCTGATAAAGGGTCTGCTGAATGAAAGAACCCTCAGGAACAGGTACCCCCCAAGCCCAGCCAAGGTGAGAGGCAGGGCCCTGTGTTCGGCCTTGGAGGATGTGGAGGACTGCACGGGACAAGGGCACAGGGCCTTGGCTCTCACGTCCTCTTCCTGTCCTCGCAGATGTCCCAGTACTAAGAGGACCGTTGCACATAACTCATTTCTGCTGGCTGTCCTGTCCTTGGAGAATTGCTTTTGGAGCCTCATCCTGGCTTCTCACCCACCTGCTGTCCTGTGCATGTGCTCAATCAACTCCCAGATGGCTCATTTCACCTCTCCACATTCTGCTGTTCGCTGGGCACAGAGATCAATAAAGCTTTCTGAAGGAAAGTCATGTGTGCAATACTTCTTTTTACACCCTGATCCCAAAACCTTCAAGGTTTAGTCACCCTGATAAGCCTACAGACAAAGCTGTCTCCCAGACATTAACTCATGGGAGGTAGCAGGCCATTGTTTGGGGATGACGTTTAACTTGCCCTTGTCATGTTTGGCATGTCAACTCCATTCTTGGTGTCTGGATGAAAAGAAAGAAAGGAGGCTGAGCCTCAATGACAAAGTGGCTCTGGAACCAGGAGGCAATACTCTTCTCAAATCAGATTTAACTTGAGAATTGATCTATGGATGGGATCTCTCTGTGAGACAGCACAGTGGCCAGTACCGACAAACTCCACTGTTACAGAACCAGGCTTGTCCCACCCACTACCCAGTCCTCCAATCACTAATTGTTTTGCCAGATGAAGTTCATTATGAGATGGCTGAGCTCAGAGGCAAAACCCTAATGCTCAAGTCTACCTTGCCAAGGAGTGATTAAGGCATGAGAGATGACTGAAGTTCTGTGCAAGTGTGATCTAGCTTCATGACTCTTCTTGTGATGCACTGTCAGTGTATGGTAAGGTTAGCATGATCCAAAGGTATAGTTTTGTTAAATATCACTCATCAGACCCAAGTGTATGGTTTCAAGAAAAGCAGTTTTGAGTCCCTGGAAGACAGCATAGGCAACCATACTGTAGAGGGGTCACCTACAACAGCATAATAGACCAGGCCTGGCCACTGTCCCAACACACTAATTGAAGACAAGTAGTGATGAATGGCAAAGCAATGAGATTTAATTAGCATGGCCATATTAGGAAGTATGTACATATGATTTATTAGAGTTGCTTATAGGCTGTGGTCCACTAGTCCAACAATTACTGTATTCTGACAGAAAGGTCAAGCATCCAGTAGTTGTTCAGTAGTTCCAATCTGCTGTGGAGCCCCAAAGATTCCTAGAGAGGGACTGGTCTTCAATCCATGGTTCTGAGGCACTGGAACCTTGACATGGGCATGCCAACAATACCCATCCACTCAGGACTTCACCCATGCTTCACACACTCACTCAAGGCTTTCTCTGCTCTCCATAACCTTTTGATGAGCATTTACATGGGACACAACTGTCTTCACAGCCTTTGCCCCCTTTGAGAGATCTATCCACATACTTCTCCCCCAAAGATGTTTCTCCCTGATTTTCCAATTGTGCTTTTTCCAAGTTCCTGACCATCCAGCCAATCCATTGGCTACAACCCATGAATCAGTGAACAATTGCACATCTGGCCATTTCTCCTTTCAAGTAAAATGCATGACTATGTGTATTGCCCAAAGTTCTGCCCATTGTGAAGATTTTTTTCTGTCATCCTTCAAGGTTTTCTCAGAAAGAAGTTGTAATGCTGCTACTGTCCACTGCTGTGTGGTGCCTGCATACCATACAGAACAATCAATGCCAGGCCCTAGTCTTCTCTTCCTCGGTCAACTGATGATAAGCCACATCCCATGAGGCTGTATGTGCATGCTTAGCAGCAGATGACATTGTAAAGGGTGTAGAACCCATAGGCATTTGGACAACTTCTTCATGAAACTTGCTTGCAACCTCAGGACCTACTCAAGCCCAATCTGTATATACCACTTCCAGTTGATAATGGATTGCTGCTATGTATGTACTACATTGTGTTTTGGCGGGACAGATAATACCCACCTCATGAGAGTAACTTAGTGACCCAATGTCAAATGTTCACTTTTCACCAGGACCCAATAGTAGGCCAAGAACTATCTTTCAAAGGGAGAATAATTGTCTACAGATGATGGTAGAGCTTTGTTCCAAAAGGTCTCTTCTGTGATTCATCAAGTCTGATTTGTGATGTTCATATATCCCAGGATGTGTAGCCTTGGACCATAGTTGGCTAACTAGGGACAACACTCTTAAAGTAAACTGACTCACTCTCCCAGCACCTATGCATTGCCAATAATTCCTCAGCTAGGAGGATGTTAAGTCTTTCCTTCTCCATGCTGGGATTTGGTTTGGCTTGAGATTGCATGGGAACTTGTGAAGACTGTCACGATCTCTCTGAGATCTCTCTGAGTTCACGTGTTGATGTCCTGCTGTGTGTCTGGAGGACACTGTTTCCTTATAGTCATCCATAGTTTCTGGCTCTTACATTCTTTTGTTTGTTTGTTTTTCAAGATATGATTTCCTCTGTGAAATAGCCCTAGCTGTCCTGGAACTCACTCTATACACCAGACTGGCCTTGAGCTCACAGAGATACACCTGCCTCTGGCTCCTGAGAGCTGGGCTTAAAGGCGTGTGCCAACACACCTGGAAGCTCTTACACTCTTTTTGCTCCCTTTTTCAGAATGATTCCGGAGCCTTTGAAGGAGGGAGCATAAAATGGATGTCCCACTCAGGGCTGAGCAGTCCACAGTCTCTTAGTCTTTGTACTTTGACCAGTGTGGGTCTCAGTGTTAGTCACCACTCATTGCAAAAGAGCAGCTTCTCTAATGAGGGTTGAGAGATGCATTAATTTATGGATGTACTAGATAGTTTTATGCTACCTTGACACAAGCTAAAGTCATCTGAGAGCAGGGAATCTCAATTAAGAAAATGTCTCCATAAGAACTGGCTGTTGGCAAGCCTGTAGGGAGTTTGCTCAATTAGTGATTGATGAGGGAGGGCCCAGCCCATTGTGGGTGGTGACATCCTGGGTTCTATAAAAAAGCGAGCTGAGCAAGCCATGAGGAGCAATCCAGTAAGCAACACGCTTCAACAGCCTCTGCATCAGCTTCTGCCTCCAGATCCAGCCCTGCTTGTGCTCCTGTGCAGACTTCTTCAGTGACAGAGTGTGATGTGGAAGTGTAAGTTGAATAAACCCCTTCCTCCTCACCTTGCTTTTGGTCATGATGTTTCATCATAGCAATAGTAGCCCTAACTAGGAGAATAGGTATGACAATAAGTCTTTTGGATTCAGTTTAATACTATGTCCATTTAGCAAAATAATAATAGGTTCTCCCCTAGAGCTTCTGGTCTATGTAGCCACATGTTCTTGACCTTGAAAATAATGCCAGATGTGGATTCTATTTGATAGAGCAGAGCAGAGTATAAATCCAATCAGAAAATGGTATATCTACACAATGGGATATTATTCAGCTATTAAGAAAAACAAAGAGTGATAAAGTCAGCCTGGCGCTGGCATAAGAATAGATAGATAGACCAATAGAATAGAATAGAGGTCCCAGAAATAAGGTGTCAAAGTTATGCCCACTTAATATTTGATAAAGGAGGCAAAATACACTGTGGGAAAAAAAGATAGCCTGTCTAGCACACAGTGCTAGAAAAACTGGATTTCTACCTGCAGGAATGAAATTAGATTTATGTCTTTCACTTTGTCCAAAAATCAGTTCTAAATGGATTCAAGTCTTTATTTTAAAGCCCCAAACATTGAAAGATTTAGGAGACCTTTTTAAAGAGAACACCAACAGCACAGAAACCACCCCCAGTATCCACAGATAGACAACATGAAGAGAAAAAGTTCCTATAGAGCAAAGGAAATGGGCAACAGAGAACGGGAAGGAATCTTAACCAGCTACACTTTAGACAGTTGGCTAATGTACAGAACTTACAAAGAACTGCAGGAACCACAGGAATAAACCAGTCAATCAACAGATGAGCTAGTGAACTGAATGGATATATTTCAAAAAAGAAACAGAGATAGCTAATAACCATTTTTGAAGTGTTCACTGTTCCTATCAGGGAAATGCAATTTAAAATGACTTTGAGATGACACCTCACCTTATAGTCAGATTGTCTATCATCAATAAGTCTGGACAACAGATGTTGGAGAGGATGTAGAAAGAAAGAAACCCTTACTCACTGTTGGTATGGGTGCAAATTAGTATAGGTATTGTGGAAATCAATTTGGAAATTTCTCAAAAAAAATTAAAAATAGAACTTCCATATGATCCAGGTATTTAACTCCTGAGCATATACCCAGAAGACTCCATACCTTACCATAGAGACATTTGCACCCCATGTTCATTGTTGCTTAATTTACTATAGCAAAGAATTGGAATCAATCTAGTTGCCCATCAAGAGATGAATTTGTAATGAAAATCTGATGATTGTACACAATGGACTCAGGTCTAGAGAAAAATGAAGTAAAATTATTTTCACAAAATGGACAGACTTACAATATATATTAAGCAAGGTCACACAATTTCAGAAAGATAGATTCTAGCCAATAATAATATATGTATACATGGAAAGAGATGTACATGTGGGTACAGATAGCATGAAGAGAAGAGAGAGAAGGGAAGAGAAGAAGAAAGGCTAACTACTGTAGATGAGGAAGGACTGAATGCAGGTGATGGACACAAGTTATGAAAGAGGATATATAAAGTAGTTGTTTTTCTAGTTCTAATTCTATCATGGATTTGTTTGTTTTGGTGGTGATAGGCGTAAAATTTAATGTGAAGAGTGTACATTCTGAATGCCTATTCTAACTGTACAGAAGTTCATTGAGTGTAGAGAAGAAGAAGGTTTCGGGTTTGGTCTATTCTGGTGTGTGATGTTTTCGTTTATTTGCAAGGCTTTAAATAAGCTTATAAGGCAATAAAAATGAAATTCATAGGTAAATGAATGGATTTAGAAACCCTTGACCGAGTGAGGTAACCCAGACCTAGGAAGACAAACCATGTTTTCTCTCATTTGTGGGTGTAGCTTTGAATCTTCAGATAAGCACACTTCACTTGAAATACCCATGGAGGTCAGAGAAGTTTCCAAGAGATGTAAGAGGTCATGAGGAGGAGGTTTTCAAGAGAGCAAAGACAGAATGCAGTGGTTTAAAGACTCAAAGAGGATTAATGCCATGTGTTGGTGTGGGTGAGGGAAAGATGCGCTCTGCCCTCTTGCCCCTCGCCACCTGTGACAGGAGGGAGAGCTAGCCTTAGGAGCAGGGAAGCAGAAGAGCTGGCCCTGCCGCTCACCAGCTGCAGCACTCAGGAGAGAGGGCCCTACACCATGCCGGGGCAACACAGTAGAGCTGGCCCTGGTGGTGTGGGTGTCGGTGAGCCATCCTTGAGGCTTTGAGAGCAAGAGAACGGGCTCCACCCCTTGTTGCCTACAACATTGGGTGAGCTACCCCAGGCAGTGCTGGAAAGCTTGCCTGGGTGGTGAGGATGAGGGAAAGCTGGCAGACTGATCAACCCAGCTACCACCCAGGTGCAGAACCAGGGCTGTGAGCAGGCCCACCCTAACCTCCATCCAACAAAGAACTGCTGGAGCTCATGAAAGGGCAGACGTACAGATCCACAGCACAGGGCGACAACAGGGTATCCAAGAGGAGTCCCAGTGAGGGCCCAGCCTTGATAGTGTAGCATTAGCCTGATGCTTCAAACAGAGCAATGACTCATTGCAATGAACACTTGCAAATAAAGATTATGAACTGTTGGGCCTAAGAAAGGCTCGGATGCGAGGCCCAGTGTAAGCTCCTGAGCCTGGCTAGAGTTTGGCGACCTGTCTCTAACCTATAACCTCCACGTGGGGATGACTCAGTCAGACCTGATTCAAGATTGCCCCCTGCCTAGTTACCTGCCTGCTTGGTGGAATACTATTGGCTCTTACTCCTCAAGTCACCTTACCCTATCCTAAGATTCCCATTCCCTACCTCAGCCCTATATAAGTTCCTGCCTGTTGGAATAAATCGAGATCCTGCTTCGACAGACTCCCGACTCAGTGTGTTTTTTTCTCTCCGGTAACTAATGGGAGGAGGGTCTGAGTTGTCGACACTCACCATCCTGATCAGGCCACCCCACCCCAGGAGACCGGCTGGACTGGCCCTTCCCCTGCTCTACCTGCAAGGGGGGCCCTGCAATGAACTTAAGGGTACACTGTGTGATTCACAGTGTACAGCTTCCTCAATGATACGTTAGCGGTTTGAAGACCTCTCACATTGGTTCCCTGACCTATGAAACCTAAGTTGTCATACACATCAAAGTTCTATGAAATACCCTATCCACTGTCAAGATAGGATTTTAAAAAAATATTGTATCTCTAGGGGAAATTTGCAAAGCTCAGTCATGTCTTTAGAAAAGTTCAGAACAGAGAGTACATAGGGTTAATTTTATTTGTCAGCTTTTCTGACCCATAATGCTTCTGATGATTTTTAGATATTTCTGGTAGTGGTTTTAGATAAGATTTCTATTGAGGTCTGTGGACTGTTATAAAAGCACATTCCTTTCTATAATGTAGACAGGCTTTATTCAGTAGATACCAGGCTTGAAGAAACATCTCCTCAATTTCCTCCAAGCAAGGAAGAATTCATCAGACTGCCTTTCCTCTCATTGGCCATGTTTACCTTTGCTGGTTCTACAACAGGGTATTTTTGGCCACAAACTTCAACACTTTATATCATGTCTAGTCTTCAAGGTGTCCCTGTTAGACACTGTACTGATCACGCCTCTACAATTTCATGAGACAGTTCCTTAGAGTGAGTCTCTATTCCTCCATAAAAACAGCTTATTGGTTCTCCTTCAATGGAACACTAATGAATACAAGACGGTAGACACATGATGTCACAGGCTCCTAGAAAAACAGAGTAGCTATGGCAGAAGATAATGAATTACAGTAATGTAACCTAAGCAGTAGCCCTTGAGGACTTTGCATCAGATTGGTGCCTTTGCTACTAAAAGTTAATGTTTTCTGATAGATACATCACATATGTCCACTGATCTGAAAATTGCTTTCTTTATAAACTTTATTAGTGTATATCTGCTTTTTGTGCACTTTTATAGAAGAGTCTCATGGATCCAAGGCTGGTCTAGAAGTTCTTTTGTAGTTGAGGATGAACTTGACCTTCTGGTCCTCCCCAGTCCTGGGATTATAGGCAGGAATCACGGCACCTGGGTTATGCAGCGCTGGGGAACAAACCTAGGGTCTCGTGCATGCTAAGCAAGCACTGTACCACTGAGTTATATTGCTAGCCCTAGATATTGTATTCATTTCCGTATGTAGCAACCAAGGAGAGCCAATGGAAGGCCTGTGTTGAGGTGGAACAGAAAACCAATACGCAGCAGGAGTTCTGAAAGGTTTCTTTGTTTAGAGTCTGAATCAAGAGAACCTTAGGGAAGGGCATCACAGAAGCACACAACAAGGCAGATGCAATCTTCTGCAACTCCTTGATGATGAAATTCACAGCACATTAAAATAATTTAATATGCTTTTAGGAATGGGAGCCTACTACTAACATAAAATTGTAGAGATAACATCTTGTTTAAATAGGAAGTACAATTTCAGTGCTGTCAATTATTAAAATTCATTTAAAGGCCTGCCAGTTAAAGCTGATCGGTAGTGAGATTTACATATTTACTCTTTGAAAATGTCTTTTAAAAGGAACTACCAAACACTGATGTCAGTATATTCAACAACTGGAAGGCATTTATAGAATTCTAGCAAATTATTTTATGGTAATTTCAGTTTGGTACTTCCTTACATTGTACATTAATCAGTTTTAAATGATAGCTAGTTGGAAGCTCTTCAATTACACCGCTAATGGATCTTAAAATATGGAGTAGTTCTTTGTACTTGAATCAAAGTCTAAAAACTTTCTTAGAACTGGTTTGAGCTTGTGTGGCAATGCATAGTCTACTTCTTTGTCAAGCATGTACAAAACAAGTTGTACTATTCAAGTACTGTAATACTGACATGACTCAGTATATCATGTGTAAGGGTGGTTTGACAGCTAACTAATTGGAGTGTAATTAGAGATCGTCATTAAACACATTTCCAAGACTATTCTCTCTCTCTCTCTCTCTCTTCTCTCTCTCTCTCTTCTCTCTCTCTCTCTCTCTCTCTCTCTCTCTCTCTCTCTCTCTCTCTCTCTCTCTCTCTCTCTCTCTCTCTCTCTCTCTCTCTCTCTCTCTCTCTTTTTAAAAAGAGGATTAGCAGACCAGAAATGAATAAAAGTGAAGTTATTCTACAGTGGGCTGACAATGCCCCTACTATACACCACAGGCTATCTAATTAAAAAGCCCAATGCCAGAAACAGGTTACCTCTCTTTGAGTTGTTGGCTGGTGAGGTTCCAGAGACCACAAACATTGCAGACTATTCATTGTCACTGCTGTTGTCTCCCTCCAGAGCTTTATGGTGAGAGCCTATTGTTGTAAACATCACATACTTGAATCACAGGATGTGGAGAAACCAAGCTTGTGCTGACCTGGGGTTTCATCCCTATCCCTAGCTTTCATGGCGCTGGAAAGCACTAGGTACACTATGGGAGGAGACAAGTAGTCATCAATCCTCCCAGCCCTGAACCCTGCAAGCTACAGCAACAGCAAGCCCACCGGTGCAATTGGCACAAACGTTATGGCAGTAAAATCCTCTATCTTAAGGACACCTGTTAGACTAGATTAAGGCCACCCATTATGGCCTTGCTTGTTTTTTTGAGACAGGGTTTCTCTGTGTGTCGTTTGCTGTCCTGGAACTCACTCCATATGCAGGCTGGCCTCAAACTCACAGAAATCTGTCTGCCTCTGCCTCCTGAGTGTTGGGATTAAAGGTGTGTGCTGCTGTCTCTGATGCTGCTGCCTCTACCACCCGGCTTCATGTGACCTCATTTTACCTTACAGGTATCTTAGAAGATTCCAAGACCAGGAACATTCTGAGTTGCTGGCAGTTGAGACTTCATTATTTTCTGGTGGGCAGACATGCAGTTCAGTTCATCCCACGTCTGTCAGGATGAGCTCTGACAAGGATGTTGTGGAGTCCTCTCACTTGAGAACTGCTTGGTTTTCATCAGGAAATGTGTGGGCTTACATCAGGTGTCTACAAGGGATGAAACTTCTCATCTTCATATACTCCCAGCAGATGACTTCACGCCATATGCAGTAGGGGCATGGACCCATCTATCCTCTAGGAAATAAAGGGAGACTCAGCAAGAAACGCCACTTGTCACTGTGCCAGCTACAGAGTATCTGCTGCTGTTGGATCCTCAGCCCTGCACATGACCAGCTGTTAACAGAGGTAGAAACACTTGGCTGAGAAAAGGAGATGTGGGGACCCCAGAGATGTCACCTACATGTTCTGGAGGGATGCAAGAGAGCAGACAGGTGGCCATCATAATCACTTCCTCTCCCCCGTTTCCTATTTACTGTCACTATTTTAATGTAATTTTAAAGTGTTTAGCGTACAAAGTATGTTTCACTATGGCAACTCCATGCTTATATTTTGTTCACATGCATCTCTATCCCTCGTCCTTATGTCCCTCTCACAGGGCACCTTCCTCCTGCTGAATAAGCCTTGGGCTTTCATGCAAGAAACAGGATGTATAGAGTCTAGGTTCTACGTATGAGAAAAAACACGCTCCGCCATTACTCTACTCCTTTAAACCTGTTCCTCCCGGCACAGAGCTTCTGCCTGCTTTCTCTCATTCATGTATGTATGTAAGTATGTGGAGGAGCACAGATCATGTCCCAGCAGGAGGGAGAGTGGCCCAAGCTGACGACCTGTGCCATTACAAGATGGCACTGGGAGGAAGCTTCAAGTGTTTACTAAGAAAAACAATTGGCTGCCCAAACTCACACTGGATGAGGTCATCACACTTGCAGACTGTGCCCAAGAGGGGGTAGGACACTAGATACATCACAGGAATACCTTTAAAATTATAGGGTAATACTTTTCCTGTCCTGAGGTTTTTTACTTTAAAAGGGCTTTGCTTAAACAATAAACGAGATCTTGCTTGACTTGACTAGCTGTTGCTCCTGATTGTCTCCGGTTTTCAGGGAGGCTGCACTCTGCCCTCTCCAACCTTGACCCAGGAGGCTCCCAGAGACCTCCAACATATGTATGCATATTGATCTAGATTCTGGGACCAGTGTGATGGCTCAGCAGGTACAGGCACATGCCTCAAAAGCTGATGACCTGATTTCTGTCTCCAGACCCCAGGTGATGGAAGAAGAAAGTCCTTCTCTGCAAGATGTCCTCTGACCTGCATTCGTGCACTCACGAATATGTACTTATGCATTCATGTGTACTCCTTGTTCTCAATAAATGTAAAATTAAGACAATTAAAATGCACCTAGATTTTGCATATGAGAGTCTGCCTTTTTTCTGTCAACATGATGATTTAGTTTATCCACTTTCCTGCAAGTGACATAAATTCTTTCTTCTTCATGGCTGAATAGAATTCCACTGTGCATATGTAAATCCATTAATCTGTTGATGGGCAGCTAGGCTGGTTCCTTATCTTGGCTATTATACTATATATGTTGATGTGTGTCTCTGTGATTTATGCTATACATGCTGGTGTGTGTCTCTATGATATGCCAACTTAGATTTCTTTTGTTATATACACAGTTGTTTAAGAAATTTTATAATATAGTTTGTTGTATTATAAAGTCCAAAAGAGGACCAGTCCTTGACTAACAGTATTTTTAGAGTAGATCCGAATGCAAATCAACTGACAAACAAAACACACACACCTGGGTCTAGGCCCAACATCTTAATTCAATCTACTTTTCCAGTACATGGGTTAGGTACCTAATCTAAAAACAGTTGCACAATTATGAGTCAATCATTCCAACCATTGTTCTTATCCAGCACGTAAACAGCCAAGACTTCTCAAAACTCATGTGTTCCCAGGGAGAGCAAGCTCTATTTCTGGGTTGTCCAAAGCAGTCCACCACAGACAGCATGCAAGCCATTGGCCAGGAACCACAGCCTCAGCAAATCTCCCACAGTCCATTGTTCACCACCTTTTGTGTCTGGATGCTCAGGTTACATTTCTTCTGCTCTGTTTTTTCTTTGTAATCATGTGTAGAAGGCACAGCTCACAGAAGTATTAGAAAACTCAGAACTGTTAAATATGCAGGCTTTTTTCTTCAAGGGAGGAAAATGAATGGTGCCTGTTCACCGGGAAGGCTGGTGTGGATGGAAGTTGTCTAACAACTTGGTGATCTTACTATTCTATGGAGCCAGACTTCACCTGGATCCCCCCAAACCCTGAGCATTGTTCAGGCCTTAATCCTGGGTTTTGTCTCTCTGTGAATAGAACCCATTCTTATGAGAGAGGTTCCATGTGCTTTGCATTCTCAATTAATAGAACCCATCCTTGTACTTATTATAAAGCCTTCCTCCTTAGGTCCTTGCCCTGAGCACTCTCTCTCTCTGTGAACAAGAACCCATTCTTACAGTGAATGACATGGGTGCTTGTCTAAAGAGATGTACTTTGCAAGGGAGTTTCCATGCGTAAGTCTTCGTTGTGATAACTGTCATGTGGAAACCTTTCCCCAAAGTTTTACTGTATTTAAAAGTGTAAGGAAAGTAAACTGCTTGGTCAGACTCTAGAAGCTTTGGGCCCAGAACTAGGTAATGCCGTGCTGACCTGAGTTTCATTCTTAACCTCATGTGGATCATTTCCCTGCTGGCTGTGATGACCCCACAATTGAGGTCACTCCCAAGTTACTGTCTACACTGCACAGCTTGACTCCATAGGCAACTTCTGACTTTGTCACACTTGTTGTCTTATTACAGGACAGGAAGGAAGAGTCCATTTACTGTTGACTCATATTTACTGGATGGAATGTTCCAGGCACCAGGGATCACGGTGAAAGAAAGAAGCAGGGCCGTGCTTTTAAGAAAATCACACTGTATGTGGTCTGAAAAGACTAGCTTTTGCTACCAGAGAAAGTCGACCTCAAAATCCTGGTGGTTAAGTTGCTATGAGGCTTTCACCCAAGCAGGGGAGGAGGAAGCAAGGAAATGCACCCAGATCCAGCCTCACTCACACTGCTGGCCAGAGCCAGGGTTCCCAGAGCTGACAGGATGCTGGAAGCAACAAGGGTGTCTACCATATGGACAGAGAAGGACAGACACAAATTAACAGGTAAGAAAAATCCAAGACAGCAATGCTGTGCAGAGAATGAACCTCACAGCGTCTGAGGACACAGATGTGTAAGAAAAAGTGATTGGGGAGTTCAGCTCAGTTGGTAGAGTATTTGCTTAGCCTGAGACCCTGAGTTTGATCCCCAGCACTGTGTAAAACTCTCACGGTGGTACATGCCTATAATCCTAGCACTAGAGAGATAGAGTCAGGAAGATCAGATGTTCAGGGCACCCCCAGCCATGGAGAGAGTTAAAGTACAGCCTGGGCTGGAAACCCCATTTCACAAATAAGGCAGTAAAGATGACCCAGCTTTCCCTAGGTGTGATTGGCTGTGTCTTCTCTTAGAAGGTCTAATCAGAGAGACGCAGGGAGGGTTTGGAGGCAGAACTTAGCCTTGCTTCACATTTGTTCTGGAACTATATCAGCCGGACAGCTCCTGAAGTAAACCAGTCTGAACTCTGAGCAGAAAGGGGCTTCAAGGCTCTGCAGAAGCCCTGGGAGATCTGGTGGGGCTAGCCTTGCACAGGCTTCCCCGAGGAGTCCTGGGATGCATCACAGGGTCTCCCCAGGAGCAGTGGGATGCAAGAGTTCACTGTCTTGGTCCCATTCCATTCAGACAGTGGGCTGGGGAACTGGTTCAGTTGCCTTTGGCTTCTAAGAGGTGACTGGACACAGGCTTACCGCCTCACCTCCATTCCCTGTCATGTCTGTAAAGGGCAGACCTTAATTCTTACATATGCACTGGCTCTAAGGGAGTATGGGAAATGTTAGGGTTTCTGGCTACTGATGCTGAGAAAGCTGTGAGCAGAAGTGGGAATGGTTGTGGGGTCGGGGGCTGTTTGGGTCATGTTCAGCACCAGGGAGCAGGGAAAGTTGTTGCTCAGCTCTAAATCTTCCACAATTGATGCAGTGCTCATGCTTGCCTCCTAGTGCTGACGTGTGGATTAGATAAGTTCATTTGTTGAGTCTTGCCTTCTCAAGGGACAATTTGTTAGCTATTGTTTTGGATACGCCTGAAGTTTCTCTTATTCTGGAATGGGCTCCAAGGTCACTCATTTGGTAGAAAGCTTGCAGAAGGCTTAGAAAGAATGTCCCTGAGAGGGTGGCTCAGTAGAAGGTTGGGGCAGCTCAGATCCCCATGTCTGCTTGCACTTCTTGGGCAGACGGCTGTCCCGTACCATCCAGCCAGGGTGTTACATAAGCCGCATCTTTTCCTTTGTTTATAGGAAGTTCTAAAAACATCAGCTGGGCTTGGCCTAAGCTGCTTAAATCCCCAAGGCAACAGGAATTGTCTGGGCAAGTCAGGCAGCCACATGCAAAGCCATCTGCCCAGGCCCATAGCCAGTTTGGCAGGACTGGAAGCTGCTGGCACTCTTCTCTCCAAGATCTACGATCTAGCATGGGTGAACTGTCTAGTGTATGGGCAGCATCTATGCATACCCACTGTGGGTGTAGGCTTGCTACCTCTGCTCCCCGAGCAGAACAGGGGTAGGAGGCACTTCAGCCTGGTGGTGCAAGAGGATGAGATGGCTACCCCTGCTTTGACTTGAGCCTCTAAGTACAGGATGAGGAGGATGCTTGCAACTTCCTTCTCTCTCAAGTGACAGCGGCTGGAGTAAGCATAGAAATTCCCCAGAGTCAGTGCTCTTGTCCTCCTGGGAATGCTGCTCAGATCTGGTCCCAGGCACTATAATCACATAGTGTCATCGCCTGGAGCAAGTGCCAGATGTGACCTCACAGGTCCTCCTGCTACCTTCTAGGAAGAGAATGTCAGTGCTGGTAACTGTTTGGCTTGAGAAACACAGCTCTGCTTCCAAAGGCTCATGTGCCTGCTGGAGACTTAGCTGTTTGGAAACTGGAAGGCATCCCAATTGCCTACCATGGGAAGGTCCAAGGGTGTATATCAAAGAAGTTCTGGCCTTAGCTAGCAGCTCTGGAAGAAGAGTTGGGCCTTACAGTGTCTTGACATGGTGTTCTTTTTCAGGCAACAGCTGCTAGAAAGACAGAATAAACATTCTCTTTTTTGCTTCTAACTAAGCTCTCAAATGCAGGTACAAAGGCCCCTACATAGCACACACACCCATACCCCACACCCCACACCCATAGCAGGCATCACTAGTTGCTCACCATATTCTTGTCTGCTGAGTTGTCTAAGGTCTCTTGTGAGGCTATACTGTATAGCAGAACACTGTGGACAACTAAACAGAGCTGACTAGGCTAGAGAAACTCCATCTACCATCTGACTTGGCTAGAGCACTGTTGAAATTTAATTGCAGTCAGAGTAGTTCAAAGAGGAGGAATTTTATAGGGTGATTAGGTCATGAGACCCTGGTCTCACGAATGGATCAGTGTGATCTTCAGGAGACTGGGTTTATTATCACAAAAGCGGGCTCCTTATGAAAGGGGAACTTGGCCCCCTCCTACTCTCTTTCTCTTCTCCTCTAACTATCCATCATGGTGTGACAAACCGTTGGCCACCAGGCCCTCACTCTTGAACTCTCAACCTTCCTAACTGTGAGAAAAGCACTTTTTCATTACATACCCAAACATGGCTCTGGCAGCAGTACCGGCCATGCACATCAGCAAGGCCTCTGATGGTAGCTCAGGCCTCTCTCCGCCACGTGCGCTGCTCTGTTCCTCCATCCTTCCCAGCCCTCCAGAAATGTGCTCATCACAGTGGCTTTGGAAACTGCAGTGCATCTCTCAGTATATTCTTCTGTCCTCACAGGCAAATACTCATGAGTCGTTCATTGGTTTGGATCAAGGCCTCTGGTCTCTAAAGCACCATAAATATGGAACCATTGCCTACACTTATTCAATCACAGCCATACTACAGGTCTTCATTTTCGATGGCAAGCTTCCGGATCTTTTTCTGCCACACCAACTCCTCCTCATGGTCCAGCAGCTCATAGATGGAGTAGGTGTTGTGTTGAGGAATATTAATTTAGATGTGTTACATTCATTTATGCTGTAGAATATTTGGGTGGGGGTAGGCGGGAGGTTTGTGACAGGGTTTCTCTGTATTGTTTTGGAGGCTGTCCTGGAACTCACTCTGTAGATCAGTTTGGCCTCGAACTCACAGAGATCCACCTGCCTCTGCTGCCCAAGTGCTGGGATTAAAGGCATGTGTCACATCTGCCCATTTGTTTAATGATGCAAAGGTGTGTTATATTTGTTTGACTAAATAAAATTAACCT